TATATATATATATATATATATATATATATATATATATATAGTCAAATCATTCCTGTTTTTAGTTTTAAATATTTCAGTATAAATGTTTAAAAAAAAGAAAATTGTGGGATGTTAGTAAACTGTACATATGCAACTGACACACACACTATTTTGTTTGTATTGTTTTAGAAAAACTGTCGCATGGCAATAAACAAAAATTTGTAAGTACTCGGCCAGTACCAGTACTCGTACTCGCAAAACTGGTATCTGTGCATCCCTTTATTTATATTCATAAAAACAAAATCGTACATTAAAAGAGAGATGTACAAATCCCATGAGCTCCGTGTGCTCCTTACAAATGACAGCTGACTCCTAACTTTTCAATTTTTCTCTAGTGTAGTCTTGGAGCTAAAAAGTAGCAGTACATGTACTCGTGCCGAGTACTGTACTTGGTATCGGTGCACCCCTAGTTACACCCTTAGCTCCCTCTCCATGCCCTTTTAAAGCAGAAGTAAAAAAGGCACAAAAATAAATAAGTAAATAAAAGTGGAGCTTTTAGCCATAATGTGTTAGTACGCTAGTGTCTTATTTCGTGCAAAAAAAAAAATAAGACACTGTCTTATTTTCGGGGAAACACGGTATATCAGCACATTACCGCAGAGTCACCTGCTGCTGCAATCCCTGCAGTGCCTCCAATCTTCCTCCCAGTCTTCTTCCAGATTTCGAGTCAGACACTTGATTGGCCGGGGACCCAAAGACATAACTCCTGCACATGCTAACAGGAGTTACTTCAGCGCATGCGTGGCTTACGCACAGAAAAAAAAATGCTGACAGCTAGAAAGAAGCTTTTACGGCAAAAGAAGCTTACACAGTCTTTTCTGCCATATCAAGCCGAGCAATCACCATTTTTATTTCCCTTTTTCAGAAGCTTTGCTTTCCCTTTATAAAAGCTCTACTCCCAAAGCCGGCCATACACCTATAGAGTATCTTTCATACTTTCTATGGTCAGATGGAAAAAGTGCAACAGATTCCTCCATCTACGCTAAACTGTGTGGAATGTGGAATCTCCCACTGGGCCAAGCTTCAGTATCTTGCTAGTCGGCCCCGCTGGCTGTCAAAAAACCTGAACAATCTGATTGGATACCAGCATTATTCTGGTATTTTGAGAGCCGACTAGCAAGATACTAAAGCTTGGCCCAGCGGGAGATTCCTCCATCCACACAGTTTAGTGTAAATGGCGGAATCTGTTGCACTTTTTCCATCTGACCATAGAAAACCTGCAGATTATTGTAAGGTGTATGGGCACACCATTAAGTTAATAGAGAGTCCATGCTATGTTACCACTGCTTTTATGCGAGTCATTTTCTTTTAATTAATCAGACTCTGTTTGGATGGTACACGCTATGGTGTTTGCTTTCTTTTTTTGGTCAACACGATCCTGGCATCGAATGAGGAGGCCTACCGATCGATAAAGATTGGCGGTTATTGCTTTCCTATTCAAGAAGTGTTATGCTGGCCACAGACCTTACAACCATCGCAATGTACAAGTTAATGGTGCATAGCGGTAATGTCTGATCACAAGACTGGACAGAAATACAAATCCTTTTATATACTAAAACCCGCCCAATGGAATGGAATAGAATGGAATGGAATAGAATGGAATGGAATAGAATGGAATGGAATAGAATAGAATGGAATGGAATAGAATGGAATGGAATAGGGCGGGTTTTAGTATATAAAAGGATTTCTATTTCCTCATTTTCAGTGTTTGGCACACTGTAGGTGAAAGCAATTTTAAAAACCTACCTTAATATCAAACGTTGCTTCTGATGCAAAGTCAGCATAGTTACGGGATGCCACCATAACACGGACAGCCTGGAAAAGAGGAAAGAAAAGATTGAAGTAGATAACAGAGCTCACAGCAGCTTTGCGAGTCACTCAATTCACATAACTATCATACAGACCAAAGTGAGAGCGAAGCAATGCATGGAATGTGTTACACAACAGAAGAGCCAGTAAAATAGAAACGATTGTACGGGGAAGGGGAGACGCACAGAGGCTGTAGCTGGGAAGCTGTGTAACAATATTACAACTCAGTTGAAGGCACAGTGTAAAAGGGGAAAGGCCCAAAATATCTGTTTGGAAGATCCACCCCGTGATCTCACACTGGTAAACATGGAAGGGAGGAGTAGAGGGGAGGCCTTCCAACTCTGACAACTGTCTAAAGCCAATCAACAAAACCCCTTCATTCCCCCGTCCATTCTAACTCGAGTGGATGGCGGCAACTTCCCTTATGTGGCAGCCGGCACCCGCAGCTGTCAGAATACCCAAACAGTGACTTCAGCTGATTGGCTCACAATTTTCATGTTCAGTAGCAGCACAGACCTTAGAAACCTGTGCTGAGAGAAATACAGGGGCTTCTCCTAAAATACTACTTTCCTGGCTAACTCTGGCTTTAATAGTTCCTGAGACATTGACCTTGATCAAGTATGGAAATCAGGAAAGGAATCCACTAGGGATGCACCGATACCGGTAATTCGGTATCCAGTACCGATAAAAGAAAAATTTCGGTACTCGCTGATACCGAATTCATTACACGGCGCCCAGCTTCCTGATTGGCCGGGAAGCCGGCTCCATGCTCCCTCGCCAAAAGGCATCGGAGCATTTGGGCGAGTATTCATATCGGTATCGGTGCATCCCTAGAATCCACATATTTGTTCTAGGTCAATGTACCAAAGCCACAGGATCACCATGACAGGCAGGGAACTAGGATTTCCAAAAAGGAAGTCAGGTGCGGCTACATGAACACTTTCTTAGTACAGGTTTCTTTTAAAGAGAACCTGTCAACCATTTTAACATTTAAAAAAGGTCCTGCCAAGGAGCATGTGCCACAAAGAACCAAAAGGCATTATCAATGGATGAGATAAACTAAAAATGTGTTTTAGAGGAGCCACAGACGATGGGTTTCTTCCCAACAACTGTAACAGCCGGACTTTAAAGAGGAACTTTGGGATTTAAAAAAAAATAACCCTTGCAGTATGAAAGTAACCCGCAACTGCTCGTTTAGGTGGAGGGGCTAAAATAAAGAAAATATACTCACCAGATCCTTAGTCCTGCTGGACTGCTAGACCAGTCCCCACAGCCTCTTCTCCCCCAGGCTCCTGTGACATCAAATTTATTGCAGGACCATTCATCTGCACACCAAGGGACATGCCACAGGCAGAGCAGAGGGGGAGAGAGGTGAGTGCTGAGGATCAGGCGACTATATCTTCTCTATTCTGGTGAGAAAAACAAGCAGTTAACCCTTGCAATGCTGGAGTAGCCCCACTGCAAGGGTTAATTTGATAAAAACCTGGGATTCTTCTTTAACATGCCTGGGCGGTTCCCTCTTAATCCATATTAAATTCCCTTGCGTGGTTGTAATTTGCAGGTGTGTCAGTGTGTATAAGTTGGCAGATCTGCCAGACAAGGATCTGCATGTGTATGGTTTCCTAGCAGACCAGTCCATGGACCAACTGCAGGTGGCGGCAGATTACAGTAACTCGTGTGTCTGGTGTAAGCCATAATGGTGTCTGTTTCTGAGCTGACAGGCAAATATTGTGTAAGCATTAAGAAAAACAGCCAACATGGTGTATGGGTGCCGGGGATTCTTCCAATGCCTCCAGACATATGACCTCTGCCTGGTCTGGGTGGATGAAGAAATCACTGCCTCTCTATAGGGACTCTATGGCTGACCATAACCAGCAGAAGAACCAACCGGCTGGCTTGGATTTTCATGGACCACATACTGTTTAACCCCCCAAAAGGACCATCCATCCTATCTGCTGCTGCGTGCCCATCAGTTTTATGCCAAGCAGTTGTATCACCCTCCCTGGCGGGGTTCCCCTCTGGAATATACAGATGAATGACACTACTGAGAAGCTAAATGTAAAGTGAAGATGGTGGTCAGAGCTGCAGATGTGTCTGGGACATGTGGGAAACGTCAGAGTGCACAAGGACGCACAATCATGTCCTGATCCATCACTGGCGGAACCTGGTGGAGATCATTACAAGTCTACAGGGTCCTTATGTAGTGTCTTCAATCTCCCCAACAGGCCCCACTAAGCCGTGCTAGTGATAAACCAGACGCCACCAAAAGCGTCTTTGGAAATGATCCGTTGTGAACAGGAGCACATAGGATGACAAGCTCACGTTTTCCTTACCTCGCCGGCGGCCCCCTTTATCATCGGCAAGCCAAAGACATAGAAAAAGAAGAAACATCAACTCACCAAAGCGGACAAAGAAGCGGCTATCCTCACAGTTCAGCTACTTGTGACATTCATGGAAACCTAACCCCCTCGGTAACCACATACAGCAGATCGGATGGGCAAACTCCGGTCCTCCAGCTGGGGTGGAACTGTCAGAGTCTTGCAATGCCTCATGGGATTTGTCGTTGTGCTACAGCTGGAGAGCCGGAGTTTGCTGAGCCCTGATATACAGTATGTGTCTAATGCAGGTTAAATATGGAAAGAAAGAAAACGCAGGTCGGTTCGTATGGGCAACACCTTCACATCTGCTTTCCTCCAGTATAACCAATCACAAGTCTGCCGTACGTAATATATAAATATACATATAGGCTTTATCCTCTGACTCCAACTCATCCGTGCAATGATAAACATGATGGGTGCTGTAAGCCGTCCCATCTGCATTGAGATCTCACAGGACTAAAAACTACTCATCTGTTAAAGTGACCCTTCCAGAAGAAGAGTATGGGGGCTGCCATTGCTGTCTGTGTCTGCATTTACTGCTGCACCCAGAACAAGCTGCTAATGGGTGTCTGAATTCTATGAGGGGAATTTACTCAAACTGGGTTAGACAGAATCTAAAGCAACCAATCAGCTTCTAGCTTTCATTTCATGTTCCAGCCCAAGTGATTTCTTTCACTTCCTATTGGGTCATTGAGGCAGAAATGAGGGATAACCTCGCCAGCAGGACCCCCGGACATAACAATCTGACAGAAGTTCTTTCTCCTCCCACTGTATCCAAATCTAGAATAGAAACCGAGCCGGCCTTCTGTGTTATACCTTATTATAGGCAGATGAAGGACCCGACGTAGTCGTCCACCCTCTCACCCAGTACATCCATCTGCCACGACCTGCCCCCCGTGTGTACCCATCTGCCACCGCCTGCCCCCTTGTACCCATCTGCCATATCTGCCACCCCCTCCCCCCATATATTTGTCTGCCACTGCCCCTCCAAGCTGTCTATTCATTTGTACCAGCTGCCCCACCCCATGTATCTATCTTCCACAGCAAGCCCCCCTTGTAATTGCCATGGCCAACACCCCTATGTATTTATCTACCCCCAATAGCTCAGGCCGCCTCCCCCCGTGTATGCATCTCCTTCCTGACAACCACCCCAACAATGGCAGGAGAACTGTATGTGTCCTTCTTCTCCCATGCACTACTCACAGTGGCAGGCTTGTGGGCCGAGCCCTGCAGCACCCGGGATATAAGAGACAGCATCTTTTGCATGGGCGGCCAGTCAGAGGAGGATCCGGGTCACTCTCCAAGCCGAGATTCCAGTTCGGTGACACGGACGACCTCAAACCTGATCAGCCGCCTGTAACCTTTCCAGCGAGACACTGGTGCCGGGCGCGTTCCTGACGTCAGCACACACCTCCCTGCGCCATGAACGAATACTGGTATCTCGTGCCTACGTGCTCGCTCCCGAGAATGTCAAGGTTGACAGGCTGATCACATGACATAGACCAGCCTCCACCAAGCCCATATTGTCTTTAAACATACCTCAGGGCAGCATAGCAGTCTGCAGGGACTGGAAATCATCTGCTTCTGTAGCAGAAAACATATGCAAATACATCTGATTAAACCAACCCTCTCATAAGTATACATAATATCCAGCAGCGGGCCCCTGTAATAGTAAAATAAGTTAGAAAGTGACCAGTGATGCCCTGACTCGACCAGTGATATCCTCTTGCAGAGCTCTGGACACTGTTGCTTTCCCACACTTCCAGGTTTGTCAGATAATGCATCCCTCAGCCGGTGTTGTGGTTCCTCACACCAGCCCTCTAACAACTCTCCACAACACAATAGGGGGTAGTGGGAGGAACCAAAGCACCCAACACAGACATCCGTCCACTGATATCTTACCGGAAAGGTTTACTCAGAGTAAACCTTTCAGGGAGAAAATGCCTCTCTTGCGGACATCAGGGAGCTGCTGTCCAAAAGAGGGAGACTCCCTGAACATCAGGGAGACTTGAGATCCCTGCCAACAGGAGAAACGCTATCTGACACACCTGGAAGTGTCAGATATCAACAGCATCCTAGCTCTGAAAGAGAGCTATATGCCATAGTACCCTGTCCTTTACTGGTAAGTGTGTGGTAACTACTCTGGTCATCCCCCTTAAGCTGGCCATACACTAAGTTACAACCATCGCACGACTATCGTTGTGCAATGGTTGTAAGGTAATTAAAATCTCGTACGATCTGCCTCGTACTTGCGATCATCACAAGCCCTCCCCGCTGAGGGGAGGGCTTTTGATGATTCCAATGCTGCGCAACAGTGGGCGCTTGCGCACACCGGCCCATTTGGCATTTGTCTTCCGAGCATGCCACTAACCCGCTGAAAATCTTACGATTTTCGGCAGGGTTTTCCAGCATGCTCGGAAAAGACAAAAGACATGCGACCGTACAGTAGAAGAAAAAAAAAGGCCTCAGTCATGAAGGAGTTAAAGCGGACCTTTACCCATATCTTTAACCCCTTCGTGACTGGCGACGTACAGTGTACGTCGTTAATAGCTTATTTCCAGTGTAAAGGTGACACTGGGGGTCTTTTGGACCCCCAGCATCACCTTAAAGAGTATCTGTCACCACCATCTGCCATCACACGGGGGGGCTTGTTGAGGTTGAGGAAGGGAGTAGCATCAGCCTAGAGGGAGGGGGTGCCGGTGACGCACAACGAACTGGCACTCATGTTCCCCCAGCTGCAGCATACTGCCAGGTTGGCTCCAGTGACGAGGACATAGGGGGTGATGACGATGATGAGGTCACTGACTCAGCTTGTGTGTCTGATCAAACAGAGGAGGAAAGTGAGGCGGAGGCACAACCCCAACGAGGCACAATGTCCTCTACGAGCAACCATAGCCAGTCCATTGCATCAGAAGGCAGAGCTGCACAGGTGCAGGGCGCTGTTGTCACGCAGCACACTTCCAGGAACTCAGCTGTCTGGGAGTTTTTCACGACATGTGCAGCAGACCGCAGCATTGCTATTTGCAAGCTTTGTCTCAAGAGGATCAAGCGTGGCAAAAACTTCAGCCACTTGGGAACCATGTGCTTGAAGAGACATATGGCCACCTGCCACACACCCCGTTGGCACAACACTTCCTATCGGTCCTCATCTGTCTCTACCCCCACTACACACATGTCATGCCATGTCCACAACTTCCACTGACGGGGATGATGTTGTAGTAATGAGTTTACCAGGTTGTTCCTCTAAATCTGCCAGCAGCTCAGCAGCCCATCAGCTGCAGATTTTCGCAGTCAAATTTCGCTGCCCCAGCTGCTGCAGCAGAAGAAAATATACTGTTCCACCCATCCACATGCACAGCGTCTAAATGCCAGCTTGGTCAAATTACTTGCATTACAGCTGCTGCCTTTCCAGCTGGTGGACTCTGCCCCCTTCCGTGAGTTTGCAGAATGTGCTGTACCACAGTGGCAGGTACCAAAGAAAAATTTATTTTCACGGAAGGCCATTCCAGCACTCTACTAGCATGTGGAAGGCAATGTTTTGGCCTCGTTTGAAAAGGCAGTCAGCAGCAAGGTCCACATTACTGCCGACACGTAGTCCAGCAAGCATGGACAGGGCTGTTACATTTCGCTCACGGCTCACTGGGTAACTCTGCTAGCAGATGGGAGGGATCCAGGATGGGGCTCTGTGCTGGAGCTTCCTCATCCACCACGCCTCCAGAAAGCTGTTGATATGAGGTCTGTCTGCTTTAACCCCTCCTCTTCGTCCTCCTCTGCAGATTTCCCAGGCGAAGCGGCAGTTCACCCGAAGCTTGCCAGGGGCTACGCAGCGGCTCAAGCAAAAAGATGCCATGCTGTGCTTGAGCTGGTTTGTTTAGGGGACAGGAGCCACACCGGGGCAGAGATTCTGTCCCCGAAGTGGTTAACACCACGCCAGCTTGAGCCGGGAATGGTTGTCTGTGATAATGGCAGCAACCTTCTCTCCGCCCTACGCCTGGGTAAGTTGACGCATATACCATGCCTGGCACACGTCCTAAATTTGGTGGTACAGCGTTTCCTAACCAGGTACCCAGGGCTGGCAGAGCTTCTCAGGCAGACCAGAAAGGTCTGCAGCCCCTTCAGACGGTCATACCCGGCAAGTGTTTGCCTGGCTGAAATTCAAAGGGAATTCCACCTTCCCACAAACCGTCTTATCTGTGACATGCCCACCAGGTGGAACTCAACATTGGCAATGCTGCAGCATCTGCACAAGCAGCAGAGGGCCATCAACGAGTACCTGTGTGAGTATGGCACAAGGACAGGTTCAGGGGACCTTGTTTTTTCCCCCCCGTCAGTGGCTGCTGATTAAGGATGCATACACTGTACTGTCACCATTTGAGGAGGCGACGAGGATGGTGAGCAGGGACAGTGCATGCATCAGTGACACGATCCCTTTGGTGTTCCTGCTGGAGCACACTCTGCGGGGAATGATTGATTTGGCACTAGAGGCAGAGGAGCGGGAGGAAGAGGAGGACTTCCTTATCTCTCAAGGCCCTCTTTACGCAATCAGCATTCCTGCGGGTCCGCAGATCAGACAGGAGGAAGAGGAGGAGGATTATGTCAGCCGCGGCGGCATTGAAGGTGAGGATGACATAAGGCATTCTTCAAGGGAGGGTTTTGTGTCACTGGAAACCCAAGGAGTAGTACGTGGCTGGGAGGAGGTAGTGGACGATAGTGTCATCCTGAGCGACCAGGAAGACTCGAAAGCTAATGCCTCCTCCAACTTATGCTGCATGGGCTCCCTTATCCTGCAAAGCCTGCTAAAGGACCCCAGGATTCATGGTATTAAGGAGAGGGATCATTACTGGTCGGCAACCCTTCTTGATCCACGATACAAGCGTAAGGTTGCAGAGCTCATCCTGCCCTCACAGAGGGAGCACAGGATGAAACAACTGGAGGACGCTCTAAAGCGCAACCTGTGTAAAACCTTTCCAGGCACTGGTAGGTTACCAAGTGATGAAAGAGGTGCTTCTGAGGCTGCGGTTGGTCAGAGGAAGAGCCGTGGAGAAGGGGGCCACTTGACTGATGCCTTCCGCAATTTTTTTAGTCCACGACGCCCAGCGATGTTAAACTTAGGCACCCATTGCCAGTGTCTTCACCATATGGTGCAGGACTTCCTAAGGGCAAGGGCAGACCTGGATAGCTTTCCAGCGCATGATCCACTGAATTACTCAGTGTTGAGATTGGATCACTGGCCAGAACTTAGCCAATATGCCATGGAGCTACTGGGCTGCCCTTCATCCAGCGTGCTTTCTGAAAGGATGTTTAGTGCTGCTGGAGGTTTTGTCACAGACAAAAGAGTGCGTCTGTCCACAGACTCTGTACACCGGCTGACATTTATAAAAATTAATCAGTCCTGGATTGCCAGCAGCTATCACTCCCCTGATTCTGATGTTACTGAATAGATCGGGGATCTCTGCATTTGGAAGACTTCCTAGGTTGCCTACGCTGGTGGGAGAGTATTACGCATTCTTCAACTTAGATTCACGGTGTCGTGCACCACCAACTAAGACACAATTGTTTTGCACTTGCATGTGACAGGTGCATATCATTTCAATATTTGACCGCAGGGTCCAACCCTGCACTCTTCTAGAATACCTCTGGAGGGCTATGATGTGAAGGCACTTGCTGGCACCAAAGGCCCAATATTTGGGTGCACTGACCGGTGTACCGGATGCATACCGTCGGAATATTTGACCGCAGGGTCGAACCCTGCACTCTTTTAGAATACCACTGGAGTGCTATGGTGTGAAGGCACTTGCTGGCACCAAAGGCCCAATATTTGGGTGCACTGACCGGTGTACCGGATGCATACCTTTGGAAAACCATTTACCATCAATTGAAATGTAATTTTTTTCTTTTTAAATGTCACTTTTTGCTGCAGCTGGTTCTATACATCCTACAGATCCGCCACTTTACAGGCAGGTTATGGGGACCCCCCAGGCACGATATTTGAAGGAATTTTTACTCATACCCTTTAAGTCATGTAAAAATCACTGTTCCTTTAAAAATGTTTTTTTTTTAATAATCGATTCCTGTCCCCCAGGGTAATACCCGGACCCCCATACACCTTTTATAGCTAATAACTTGCATATAAGCCCTCTTAAAGGGGACCTTCATTTTCGAATGTTCGACCCCCATTGACTTGAATACGTTCCAGTTCGTATTCAAACTTTTCAGCCGTTCGAATACGAACCGAACACGTGGATGTTTGGCCCATCACTAATAATCTTGCAAAGGGGATCCAACAATGAATGAATAGTGCTCTGCAAATGTATCCCACATATCAGTGCGTTTAATCGTGAAAATATAAATCCTTTGATGTGATGGTATCCCAGACCTCCACCTCTGCCACATTTTACATTGGATTATTGCAATACTGGATTATTGATGTTTCAATTGGAATACACAAAGCACACCAAGAAAGACT